GCTGAGTCCATCTGAATAACCTGTGTGACAGATTGTAGAAATAAATAGTTTCTGCAGACTTCTTTTATAGTCAGGAGGACTAAAATGGAAGGACAATGTAACATTTATTTTTCATTGTCTATATTTCCTCTCCTTTCTGCCTGGAAGCAGCTATCAAACTGAGAAACCTCTTCTCTCTGCTTTACCTCCTTGGTATAATTATAACACTAGAGAAGGGAATTACGTTAAGAAAATTCATGTTTTATATGAATTCCATCAATCTGTAATAGCTAATAAACCAGAACAGGTATTCCTCACTCAATAGCACTGATTCTAGCCATAGATAGCAAAAAAAGAAATTTTGGCTTAATGTCAGACGCACTGTCCTATTTTGCCAGCTTCTTTGCTGAACTGAAGCACAAGCACCTCACAGGGTCCGTTATCTTCCAGCAAACAGCCTTGGGTTAACAATATAAAAGCTTTTTCCCTTTTTTTAAACAGAAATGGGGAAAAAGCTCCTTGTGTTTGTAAGTTTCTTCAAGTCTCATGAATATCTTCCTAAACTTGAGCTTGTTGACAGATGAATCATCAGCACATTTTCGCATCTTATAGCAGTCCCTGACTGGTCAAAAGAGAGATTGGCTCCTCTGGAGGACAGAATTCACCATGTTTGTACTCTCAAACATCTTCCATCTGACTTTTGCAAAACTCATCTAATAAAACTTCACATTAAGCTTGCACAACAATGAAATTTTATCTTTATGTCACAGGTGGAGATAAATAAGGGAATATTTTTGAATCTCGCTAGCAAAAATTTGGATGCCTAAATTCATATTAAACATTATCTTTTCTTGGAAACATTCCAAGAAAATGTTCTCATGTTCTGATACCTAACATTAATCTTATTCAACTGTCATGCAAGGACAAAAAGAGTACCGCTAGCCCATACCATACAACCAGTATGTAACAGCTCCGCTTTCTCTAAACTTACAGTCTAGTCTGACTTTAAATGATTCCAGAAGTGAAGTTCCCGATCCAGGATTTGTTTTGGTTTCTTGCAACTTTGACCTAAGCTGAATTTTTTGGCCTTATGACCCTTGCGTTTTGACCATCACAAAACTCTTTTTTTTTTAGCTCAAAATCACACCCATTCTTTCAGCCTCATGGCTGCATGGCCAGCTTTGCCTTTTCATTGTCAGCAGGAAAATCTTTTCTCAATTTCATCATTCTTCCATGCAAAGGGTTAAGAGTGCAATACTGAAGGACCGCAACAAATAGCTACCAATAGGAAGGTAGAATGGTTTCTCAAAAACGACCATTATGATTGTCTATTCTGACCTTCTTCACCACAAAGACAATTCAATATAGCCCTTTATTTCTGTATTGATTTCATAATATCTGGCTGTGCTATACCAGAAGCATGGAAACTCCTCTTTTTATGAGAGAACTGCACAAAGGATTTTTCTCTTCCTCCAGATTGGCACAGTCAACAAAAGAGGACATGTAGCATCTATTCTATCCAGCAAAGGGTACCCAAGTGCATGAGAGACAGGTCCTCTGAACTCTTCCCATAAATCTTATCTCTGCTGGGACTGGCATGAGGAGTTGGTCAGCAACATCTCTCTTTTACTATGACTTTTGCAGACTTAGCAAGAATCTGTCCTTCAGCAACACTCTCATCGTTAAGGCGATTTCCCTGGTCACAGTGGCCATATATTTACTCTTCAAAACTAAAGCGAAATTTCTGACCTAATCCAGGGACTACAGCAGCTGCAGCCCTAGACTTGGGCCTAAAATTCCCATGCCCTTCAAAGGTCTATCCTATTGAAATATGCCTATCTATTGAGAAATCCTCTTCAGAGCTTTGAAGAGCATAGTCCAAGCATTTTGGGCAGGAAAAAACAAAGACACTTATCTGTTCTCCCTTTGCATCAGGGTAGATCACAGGAGGGAAATCATATCTGTCACAAAGAGACAGAGGTTGTTATGATTCAGAAGGCTCTGGGCAACTCTGTGCTGCCAGGCCTGGGTCTTCAAGCAGCTTTCTGAGGCCTCATATGAAATTTGGATTTGGAGAGATGCCAGATGTAAGAATGTAACAGCACTGACCAAAACACCAGCTATCCCCAAAGTCTACCTATGGTCTCAGGCAGAGATGCAGTATGCCAGAACTGGGCGGCCTTTCCTCTGCCTACCCAAATAGGCAGAAAACCACTCAAAAACATCCAAATCAAGGCACAGACATCACACCCCTGTGAGAGCACCAAACCCTGTCCAGCCAGCAGGGCCAGCAGTCAACCTCAGCCTCTGAGGAGCTTGCCTGTGCCCAACACTCCCCATGCTCCTACTAGGAGTCTGTGCTTGCCCCGATGTCACCCTGCCAGAAACAGTCAGCTCCTGTCCTCAATGCCCCTTGGCATGGCCTGACCCTTCCTCTAGCAAAGCAGCCCCCAGCCCCCTGCGGGCGCTGCCAGCCTCTGCACCCTCTGGCCTCCCCCCC